CTCCGGGGCCGGGGCCGGCCATGCGCCCGGGGCTGGCACCTGCTGCATGCCCGGGGGCGGGGCCAGCCCAGATTGCTCCGCGGGCGCACGTAAAGGGCCCAGCGGGCACCATGGCGCCCGCGGGCTCCAGGTTGGGTACCACGGATATAAACATTCTTTGAGAGGATATGAGCCGCCTTGCATAAACAATGTGATTATTCTGAATGCTGCATGCCTACGTAAGTTTGGTCAATTTTATTTTGTAGTGTAGACATAGCCTTACGTTTTCCCATTAGCTCCTTTTGTTGCTACCCCTTTGACCTTTATGTCCATTAGACATATAACTTGGGCTTATTTTGCACATGCGTTAATGACAAATTGATGCAAGTTGCACATTTTTACTATAGTTACACTCATTTAGCCCCTTTTTCTGATGGGGTTACATTTCATGTGTAATTTATTCTACAGATTATTACTGCTGAATTTGACCCTGTAAGCTTATGTTATTCTTCTGGTGAGTGGCTGATAGGAGGTTATTGCCTAAACTCACCTCCTGAGGCATTTGCGAAATACTTTGCATAACTAAATTATTTGGTGCTTAGCAACTGGACCAGAAATATGGCTGATGTAATCTAAAGAGTAAGGGACAAAGTCTGATCTCTCTTACATTGTAGACTATTTACAGAGACTTCACTGATTTTAACTCCATTTTTAAACCATTTTAAATGGGACCAGATATCCAGCTCACTTGTGTATTCCTTAAATGCACGAGTCATTTGATAACATACATGGGTTTTACTCCTTCAGATGTATGAAATAAAAGAGGAAGGAGGAATTCTCAAGAAGCTTTTTGAAATATGGAACAAAGTTACAGAACCTCTGCAGCCCAAGGTGCCACAACAAAATAACACAAAGATGAAAAGTTTGTCTTATCCGTTTTCCAGAGAGAAAATATATTTGTGAGTATTTTCAAATGTAAACGCTATTGAAATGGACTGTAAGTTTTTGTTTGTGTCCTCCTTCCATTGTAAAACCTAGTACTTCAGTAAGTATCTGAATCAAAATTTAAAAAAAAACCTTTTGTCACATCAGGTATTTTGGTTCCTGATAAGAATTTTGTGGCTTAGGCCCATCTTCACATCTGTGCTGCCCTCTGCTCTTAGATATGCATGTGCATCTACTACTGAAGTAAATGAAAGCTGACTGGCTTTAAGCAGAATTTATCTAAATGGGCCAAATTGAAAGGTGCGTCCGAATCTAAGTCTGGTGACGTATGCCATCTGCATTCTCTTACCATACGTACTTTACAGTACCTTCAGTCTATCAACTTCCTTCAGCTGACATGCATGGAACCTGATTTTGCTCTTGAGCTAGTGTGAATCATGAATAAGTCCTGTAAAGTTAATGGAGATCCACTGGTGTAAGTGAATGGAAAATCAGAGTCCCTGGGATACTCTCTCTCCCTTACTTTCACTGTGCAACTAACTCAGACACCTTGTCACATCACCTCTTAATTTGGCCTCCTGTGTCAGTTTAATGGAAGGTGAGTTGATGTGAATTATCTGTCAAGAGAACAGAAGAGCAGCACAGCAAAAAAAGCAGCTAACAAGAGGGTGCAAGATGGACCGGCTCCCTCTATCACTAGCACTTTCTTCCAGTTCCTTGGTGCAAAAATAACACGAAGGAAGACTACTTAACACATGCATATCTAAGGCAACCTCAGGGTATGTCTAGACTACATCCCTCTTTCGACAGAGGGATGTAAATTAGGCACTTAGAAATTGCAAATGAAGCTGGGATTTGAATTTCCCATGCTTCATATGCATAATTGCGTCATGGCGCTCTGTCAAAAAAGCACTGTGTTGAAATTGAAACCGCAGCCTAGAAGCGGTTCTTTCGAAAATAGATGCCTTTTTTGAAAGATCCTGTAAACCTCAGGTTTCAAAAAAGCTTCTATTTTCGAAAGAACCGCTTCTAGGCTGCGGTTTCAATTTCAACACAGTGCTTTTTTGACAGAGCGCCATGACGCAATTATGCATATGAAGCATGGGAAATTCAAATCCCAGCTTCATTTGCAATTTCTAAGTGCCTAATTTACATCCCTCTGTCGAAAGAGGGATGTAGTCTAGACACACCCTCAGTTAATATGAATTTAACTTATACTGCTTGCTGTTTTGCAGTGGCTATAAGTCAATAAAGAATTTCACTTAGTAGGTATATCTGCTTCCATTGGATAGGACACTTGTGGGAGTGCTGGGAACAGAAGGAGTCATATTCAGCGATTAGATGTGTTTTTAACTTGAATTGAAAGTGCCAGATAAATTATGAGTAGGAAAAGGAAAATGCTTTCTTGCTTGGAAAAAGATATAACTAATAAAGAAACATATTTTTCTGGTTAGGTTAGATTTATGATAGTAATTAAAACTTGGCTAATACTATGCAAATAAGAAATTCTTGCCACCTGCCTTCCATCCGGAGTAATACTTGTGGGCCTAATATGAAGTTTAACAGTTCTTATTACCTCATTAATGCTTGATTCCCTGCATTTATGTCTGACAAATAAAGTCATATAAATTTAGTGACCTACAACATCATTTGTTGCCCTTTTCATTAATCCTGAATACATGCTAAGTAAGCCAGAAGGAGTAAACTGGCAAAGTTAATTTCACTGATGAGGATTCATGGGTTTGGTTAATAGTTAGTTATAGAATAATAATTACATAACTGTTGCAGATTGATTGTATGAAAGCAAATGTATTGACTTAGTCATCCTAAAAAGAGTAATGAAACATCTGCAATAAGGCGAGTTGAAATCTGATAGCATTAATTGAGTCAAGGGAATGTTAGAACACTGCGGCTATTTTATAAGGAAAAATGTGAATGTCATTCTATGTAAACAATAAAAACTTTCCTTCAGCTATTTTACATTTGGATAGTGTTTCTGTATTAACTCCTCCAATTATAGCTTTCAGCCTATGTAATCCATAGTCTTCTTAATATACTGAAATCTTTGTAGAGCTCAATAGGATGAGGCAACCTCCTGTCTTAAAAGACCACCTTAGAGTATCAACTAATGCATACAGTTCTGCTTCACCTCCCTCTGCTTTAAGCAGCTGTTTTTTCTCAAGCCTTTACTTGAATGGTCATTTAATACAGGTTTTGTTGCAATGGTTTCAGATGGTTTCTTAAGCAAATTGTTATATAATCCTATTCATTAGTAGCAGTCATGAAAATGTAACTCATTTTGTCTCTCAACATTTTAAGGTACAACATTAAAGACAAAGACACATTTTTTGACAATGGTACCCGCAGTCGAATAGTAAGTAAGCATATGTGGTCTCGTATTGACAGAATCTGCTGTGCTTGATGGTATCTGCTTCCACAGTGAATGCACTTGGCTCTCCTTGCCGACTTCGTCACTATTTGCTTATTGTTTCATAGCAACAGAAAAGTACAATCAGGTGCAACAGATCCAGAAAGTTGGTAAACA